TTGGCGACGGCAAGGGGGCAAGGTGGTGGAGGAGTGTCTCGTTCAATGGTGCGAACTTAGTGTAGATGATGCTACTTGGGAGCTGCAGCCAGAGCTGCGGGATCGCTTCCCTAACTTTGACCTTGAGGGCAAGGTTGTTATTTCATAGGGGAGCAATGATAACAACTCGTGGGACGTTGGCTGCACCCATGCAGCGGCGGGTGTCGGGTTGGGTAGTTAAGCCCAATCTGCGTTACCTTTCGGAGTAGGAGTTATTATGTTCTTTTGTTTTCCTGTTTAGGTTCGGATTGTAAGCCTCTATCTAAGAACTTGTTCGATTAATGAAAAGGAAGCAATTATCAAAAAACAACCCTAATACAACCGTTTGCGCCTAGTAGGAGAACCTCCCAACTCAGGAGTAACGAGTTGCTATCAATCTCCTAACGTCACATGTCGATTTGATGATATCCAGTGCTTTTAAGAAACAATTTGTTTAGATAATTGAATCAAAAGCATCCGATGATCATAACCAAGGTCATTTAAGTGGATTACCTTGAGATCCGACCATGTGGAAAGAGCCAAAGCATTGCACATACAACTACCCAAACACTGCATAATATGATTGGATGCTAAATGCCGGTTGGACCATGTAAACGATGAACCTTGATACCTTAAATCATATAAGACAGCTACACTAAGTTGTTCCAATGGTGCCAAACTGCCAATGTAGGTTGATTACCACCAATTTTTTCAGCAGAACTCACCAAGCTATTGAAGTCACCAATTACAAACAATGGTAAAGAAAACAACGAGAGAAAACCGAGAATTCTATGGAGTTGGTCTTGCTAAAGCTATACATCACATGACAGGTACACAAATAGAATAACAAAGGACCCTACTACATGAATGGAACATTTGACAACACACATAAATGCATAAATAAAATGCACTATACAAGACACGAAGGCAGCCTAAGTTGCCGCAATACTCCCGCTACCACTTGACATGTTGTAGCAAAGAACATCCCTAAAACCCATACTAGCTAGTTTACCACAGACAAAGTCTTCATCTCTTCTTGTTTCATGAGATAAATAACACTAGGATGAAAGCAACAGGCGACTCCACCAAGCATTTGGAATTGTCAAGGATGAGTCTAATTGACTCTCTTTTACTGTCACACTAGAAAGTGACCAAGTGTAACCACAAACTAATGCGTAGTATAGCAGGTTTAGCTTTAAATGTCAACCCGGGTCCTAGATGTGATGACTACTCCGTGAATTCTTGTTATCCAACTGTTTAACTGTAGTGAAGTTTTAACTAATCTAACCAAGCACAAAGCAACTAAGTTGTGATTCAAGTTCGAGAGAGGTCACCCCGATATGGTTCCCCCTAGATTGTAGTTAAGCCGAATTGTAATTCACCAAGTCCAGATTTAATGACAGTTATACTACGGAAGGTTCTTAATCAGTCTGAAGTCTCGACTAAAGGTCTCTGAACCCTCCCAATCTGAATACCCGGCGGGCGACTAACCTCCACCGAAGTAAACAAACTGAGGCCCTAACGCACAAAACCTCCTCTACTGGAATGAATCCAACACAGAGCAGTGAATTGACTTCTCGACTAAAGTAGTCAATTCACCACCTTCAATTTAAGGGTGCTTTATCAACCCAGGCAGATATTATCTTTCTAGATCAAAGCAGAACTATTGGAATTTGATCAGGATTCATGCAATTCAGAAATCATGCCTCAATTGAATATAATCAATGTCAAAAGATCAAGTACTTGGGTTCATACAATCAACCTAACATACAGATCTAGGGTTCTTAATACCTAGGTGAGAGAGGGAGTTACTCCATAGAGATAGAAGAGAAATCAACTTCAGATGCAGAAATCATTCTATGGAGGATGATAATCAGCTGGTTGTTAATCAGTGTTTCTCCAGGCTTCAATCGAGCTCCAATGCTGTTGAATCTCAATCTAGGTCACTTTGGAAGTTGGGTTTGTCACTTTCTGTCTCTAAAACTCTTTTCACCTCTCAAAACTCGGACTCCTTCTCAAAGACTCAAAATTGGTTTAAAACCTAGCTTTTCCCAATTACACGGCCAGGCTGCACGGTCGCGTAAATCTCCAGCCTACCCGTGTGAACCCCAAAATGTGGTGTTGCACTTAGTTGCTCGTGGGGTGTCACACGGCGGTGTGAAATCCGGTCTTGGCCGTGTGAACTCTCAGGAAACCTTGCACGCCCAAAAAGGCGCCTTTCACAGGTCCTACAGCCTTGGCCGCATAAAAGGCTTTGCACAGCCAGCCCGTACGGCCGCGTAGAATGATGTCCAGGTCGTGTGAACTCTCCAGCTTCCCCTCGATTGTCCCAACCCCGTCCAATCGATCCCAAACACGAGTATAAACCTTCATCCACATACTAGGACCTGAAAATATCACCAACAAGAACACCCTAGCGTGAAATTGGCTTAAAACGCGAGAATCTACTCTCAAACGGTTCAAGATTAGTGGGAAATAACATGTACAATTAGCGGCTTATCACTAATCCTCGACAATTTAAGACCATGACACTCATGGAGTGGATTGGAACCAGTCCGGGCTGGTAGCTGCCACCCTTTTAGTAGAAGATAAATCCTTATTGGGTTGATCAGTGATCAACCTAGCACACTTGGCTGCAGGATAAGCATAGTTGGGAACAAAATACGTATCCATCAATCCAACTTCCCCGTTATCAGACCTTGCTTCAGTGGACATATCGGATTAGTGTTTGTTGCTTCCGACATCAGGACATAGACTGAAACTGAACTGTCACATGACCAGAAGAAGGCCTACGAGTGTCCCCCCAAATCGAATCACAAGAACTAGAGGTTTGAATGCTGAAGTCTTTTCCAACATCCCTTGGAGGAGGAACTAGGAAGCAACCAGTCCCTTGCAAAGAAGAGAAGCGCTGAGGATCACCCTTGAGCAACCGAAAACTTTCCATAGCTCAAAGGAGCAACACAAAAAAGTCTTCTAAGGACATGCGTCCCCAATGTATTTCTATGATGCCACATAGGAAATAGAACTGAGGTATGAGTTAAAATTTAATCAGTGCCATAAAATTACATTCGTGAGGTCAATGTGGCGAACCGAAATTTCATGAGGAAGAGAAGTCAATACGTCAAGGATTGACTGAGCTTTGACATACAACTCACCAATGACGTCAGACGAATTCTAGGTGTGGGGAGTTCTCTTGCTAAGGGCTAAACCTAGTCGCAACGCAAGCTTCTTGGTAAAGCACTCATAGGGGATGCCCTAAATTTGCAAACTCACCGAAACCCAGAGAAGAGCAGCCGCCAAGTCGTAAAAAGGCGATGCCCATGACGCCATGGAAACCATGAACTTCAAGAAGATCCAAGGAGTATCATCCACAATCTTTTTTTGCATATATTCATGCAGAGTGAAGACAAATTGAGTGAATCCAAGGAGTATCATCGAAATCTAATTTGGAGATCGGGAATCCCCTTTGCATCATCAAACTCGAACTGAAATCATCTTCAGTGTATGAAGCATCGGAGTCACTCCACTTAGTCGTCCAACAAGCAAATACTCACCACTCGAACACCAACAACCACGTCTTCATGCGTGAACTATACAAAAACCGACATATCGATGCCCAAGTGAGAGCAAGCTGAGGAGTTTTTTTTCTTTTTCTTTCAAGGTCACATCAGTATTTATGGTGGTGTTAGTTTAATAATTTAGGAAGTTCATTTTATCAAAACACAAGTGGGACACTTTCTTCCAAGCGATTATATAAGCTGGAGGAGGGCGAAAAATATGAGTTCAACATTAGGATAAGAGAAAGAGAATGATGGCGATTCAACTGAACCGCACATACACAACGAATCACCACTACCACTACCAGCAATCCAAGCCTCATAGCCTCTTCTCCACAACAAAACGACAAACCCCCAACCTCCAAGTGAGAGCAGCCTCCGAAGCCACCAACGGGCGGCAGCTAATACTTTCCGGCGCTGTCAAGCCGATACCGCCCAAGGACGCTGCCATTGCTATCACCTCCGAAGGGTTCACGCTCCTGGACGTAAGGCCAGAATGGGAGAGAGAAAAGGCCAGAGTTCCCGGGTCGGTTCACGCCCCGCTCTTTGTTAAAGACCAGGACACCAGCCCTGTAACTCTGCTCAAGAAATGGGTTCATTTTGGGTACATCGGTCTGTGGACGGGCCAGAACTTCACGACCCTGAACCCGGATTTCCTCCTGCAAGTCGAGGCTTTAGTTCCCGATAAGAACTCCAAGCTGCTTGTAGCTTGCGGCGAAGGGCTAAGGTAAGAGAGGAGTTAATTATTACTAGTGTACAATGCTCTGACAATATTGAGAACATTTGAGACGACTGAGATTATAACTGGCAACAATGGCTTTCTGTTCAGGTCAGTCATGGCAGCGTCGAAGCTTCACCAAGCAGGGTACAGGAACCTGGGATGGCTGGCCGGAGGATTCAACAGATCAGTCGATGGGGACTTTCCTGCCATTGAAGGGACAGAAAAGCTAGAGTATGCCACAATTGGTGGTGTTTCGTATTACTTCCTTCAATTGCTCATACTCTTGCAAGCTGTAGGCAAGAGCAATTGACTTCGCTGCAAAATCTGGATTTCTTGTATTTGATTCCACTTTGTACTCATCCGTTCCAAGTGAAAATGAAAACACAGTGATGTGGAAGGCACATTCCCTTCAATGAAACTGCAAGAAAAGAAGCAAAGGCAGTGTATGGACTAAGCTAAAGCAACTAGCTTCAATGGAGGATGAATCCCAACTGATTTTATATCACATTTCATTCGGTTTCTGCAAGAACAGACAGCAACAGTAATCTAGAAAGACATCAGTCACCGAATTTCAGATAAACCCACAAGTTTTTCCCCTAGATATGAAGTTGAGAGAAACGACTATAGAGGCGACTAACAAATTTTCCATGTAAACGAATCACACAAGCAATAAGCCTCCTTCTTCCCCTGTGCCTTCTTTCTTCTCATTCAGACCTGCTCGCAAACCTCTCCACCTTGCTATCATTCAGATTAATCCCAACCATGGCTTCCCCAAGCCCACAACTGATCTCAGCCAGGACGTTCGGGTCGCTGTAATTGGTCACCGCCTGAACAATTGCACGGGCCCTTTTGGCCGGATCCCCGCTCTTGAAAACCCCGGAGCCGACGAAGACGCCGTCGCAGCCCAGCTGCATCATCAGCGCGGCATCGGCGGGAGTGGCGACCCCGCCGGCAGCGAAGTGGACGACGGGGAGCCTCCCCAATTGCTTGGTCTGCATGACCAAATCGTAAGGGGCGGCGATCTTCTTGGCGAAGGTGAAGACCTCGTCATCGTCCATGTTCCTGAGAACCCTAATGTCGCCCATGACGGACCTGACGTGGCGCACGGCCTCGATGACGTTGCCGGTGCCGGCCTCGCCCTTGGTGCGGATCATGGCGGCGCCCTCGCGGATCCTGCGGAGGGCCTCGCCGAGGTTGCGGCAGCCGCAGACGAATGGGATGCGGAAGTTGTGCTTGTTGATGTGGTTGTCGTCGTCGGCGAGGGTGAGGACCTCGCTCTCGTCGACGTAATCGACGCCGATGGCCTCGAGGATTTGGGCCTCGACGAAGTGGCCGATGCGGGCCTTGGCCATGACGGGGATGGTGACGGCCTGCTTGATCTCCTTGATGAGCTGGGGGTCGCTCATCCTGGCGACGCCGCCCTGGGCCCTGATGTCGGCCGGGACGCGCTCCAGGGCCATGACGGCGCACGCGCCGGCCTCCTCGGCGATGCGCGCCTGCTCGGCGTTGACGACGTCCATGATGACGCCGCCGCGGAGCATCTGGGCGAGGCCGACCTTGACGGAGAAGGTGGATGTCTTGGTGGTCTCGGTCAGGGCGCCGTTTCCGTACACCGCCACAACGCCGGTTCCTTCCATCGTGTGGTTTTTGGGTTTGGTTGGAAGAAGAGGAGAGAAAGGGGATAGGCGGCGGAGAAGGAAGGTGAGGATGGCAGGGAAACGGAGGAAGTAGGATTTATAGTGGGAGCCAGTGGATGGGAAGGAAGGGAGTGGGGTTTGATCAGACGGCTGGGAGAGAGGATTGTGCCAAATTGTTTTTTTTTTTCTTTTCTTTTTTCTTTTTAGTAGGCGGTGGGCGAGTCCTGACTCCTGACTAAGCCGCGCTACTTGGGGATGTTGGTTTGCGTTTGGCCACGTCATTGAAAGGATAGAGGCAGGCAGAGGCGAAGGAGAGAACCAGAAAAAAAGGCTGCACTGTGGAAGGAAAGTAATTGTTGCATCGGCTACAGTGAGCGAGGTTGGGCCGGGCTCTCTCTGCGGGCTGCTGCGTTGCATTGCATTGCATTGCATGCACTTGGGGTTGGGAATCCAGGTTGTCGTTTTGTCCGGAGTGGTTGTCGTACTGGACGTTAGGGGATCAGGCGAGTGAGTGGGAGATTTTGTTGATGCTATTAAGTGGGGCGGAGTGCCGAAACGAAGAGCGCGGTGGGCCGTTCATTTGCAATCTCCCCAGAAATTTCCTCCTCCCCACAAAATCTCAGTGGTTAGTCAAGCACACACCCCTAAGCGTGAAAAAATAATAAGTGAAGGGACAAGGAACCCGTTTCCAACTTCTCTTTCGTTGTTTCATTCACTCACTACCAAGGTAGTCAACCCGTGGGTTGACCCGGACCCGATCGAACTAATGGGTAAAGGGTTAATGGGTCACCCGGTTTAGCCCGTTTAGCCTGAAAATATGAAAAGAGTCATTATATTGTACTTTACTTGATAAATTATATCAAATGTCATCTAACATATGAGTAATAACATATAACATTACACCAAAGTAACATGTCGTACTTAGATCCAACATATAGTGAAAATTCACACACGCTTATATAACATCAATATTCAACTAAGAATTCCAAAGATTGAGTTAGGCGAAAAGAAAAATCGGAAAATAAGCGCATTTCGCAAACTAAAGAAAAAAATGACATAATTTGACCTCCAACTCGATACCTTATAGCGGTCGACCCGGCGGGTGCGTACGACCCGTTTTTCTCATCGGATCAAGATCAAAGTGGGTCAACCCGTGGGTCGACCCACGGGTTGACAACATTGCTCACTACTCACTAGCCATTGTAAATTTGTAATGGCAATGGGACAAGACAGGGTTGAGGCAGGTAAAGTATACGGCGAATAATTTTTTATATGTGTACGTTGAGATCGATGGACTTATACGAGTATGTGATTTAAAAAGTAAAAATAAAACATTAGAAATAATTTTTTATTAAAAATATAAGAAATTATAACATGATAAATATAGTTAAATTATTCAGAAAATTGAAGTTTTCACCTATTTATAGCTTCATTATAATAAAAATATGAGATGATAAAAGTAAAATTATAAATAATATAAGTAAAATTACATGTAATTTAGACAAAATAGATCTAGGATAGGACGGACCAGAACATGTCAGGTCGAGGAGAGTAGTCATACCTGTACGTGGGCACCGAGCCGTGCCGCCCACGGGCTGGCACGGCACGGTTAGAGCACGGCACGAGCACGGGCACGAAATAAATGGGTCAGCCCGACACGGGCGCGGCACGGTATATAAGTGGGCCGTGTCGGGCCTCATATTTTCGAGACTTTATTGTGTATAAGAACGGACATGACACGAAAATAATATTTATTTGATAGAAAATAAATATAAAAAGAATTATAGGTTTAAATATTATAAAATACAAGTAGAAAAAGAATTATGTGTTGTTGTTAGAAGTGTCATAAAAATATATACTCTTTATACGTAATTACTATCATAAGTAAAAATGGACGAAGAATTAAACAAAGGCAAATCACACTCGCTATACTTCCAATTTTCTTTTCCCCTTATTTGTTACTTTTCTCAAACATTATCGGTTAATACTATCTTTCTCCATCCAATTTTCACATTCTTTTTCATTCTCTCTTTTGTTTTCTTCATTTTAATTAAATACGAATACGAGCATGGCACGAGCACGAATAGGCACGGCACGATTCGAACCGTGCCCGGGCCTGGGACTGGGCCTAGCAAAGTTAACAAATGGGCTTGCATGACACGACACGAAAACTTACGGGCCGTGCCAAGCACGGCACGAAATAAATGGGCCTGAAGCGTTGTCGTGTCGTGCCAGCCCAAACACGACCCAACGCCCATGTACAGTCATACCCGCCCCACCACTATACACATCCAAAACAGGTAAAAACATGTTTAATACCACGAATTAGGTCAAAATTGGCGTGAGAAAGATTGAATAATACACATCCTAGCACAAATAGTACACATTGTAGCACAAATCGGATCGAATAATATCTGCCGCACAGATTTAATACCACGAATTAGGTCAAAATTGGCGTGAGAAAGATTGAATAATACACATCCTAGCACAAATAGTACACATTGTAGCACAAATCGGATCGAATAATATCTGCCGCACAGATTTAAATTGACATCCCTATAGTCTTTTTTTTTTTTATAACCCAGGGAACCTCAGCCCCACGTGCAGCATGAGCGACAGCGGGGCCTACTAAACCACTGGGGGTACCTGCATACTAACCGGGGCTTTCTGCTACCAACATCGGGGAGGCTTCGCCTCCGATACCAAGGGTGCCGCCGGGAACGCACAAGTGGCTCCACTGGGAATCGAACTCAGGACCTCTCACATCCAGAGCTCAATTGGACCAGTGTTTTCACCACTAGGCTATATTACCTTTGGCACATCCCTATAGTCTTCTCTTGTAGTGTCTGGTTAGTGCCGGTTTCCAATTGTGTTTCGTTTTCATTTTTCTTGGTTTGTTTATTAAGGAATAATGATAAAATAAGAAAGATCTTCTGTAGTTTAGTATGACTAATTGACTGTCTCATTTTTTAAATAATTTATCACATTCATTGGGAAAGAGAAAGGGGAATCTGTGTTCTCCTCTGATATAATCCTTCTAGGATCGCAATGGATGAGTTAGAGGTGGATAGTGCATATCCGTTACCCTACTTAAAAAATAGTTCAAATTTTATCAATACTCATATTCACATAAGAAACGGGTAGAAAATAAAAAACATGCCCATATCCATTCGGGTTTCGGGTATCCACAGTTATCCATGGATAATAATTTTTCTTCATAACTCCAACCAATATGTTAACAATCCCGCGTATTCTCATATTATGTAAGAGAAAAATACAACAGTAATTCACTATAATGAAGAAAATTAATTAAAACCATACAATTTCAAGAAAATACTATATTTATATGCTAAATATTAAATATGTTAGGGAAGACAAAATACATATTATGTATAATCGGGTGAGTTGGGATTGGACAATAAAAAATCAATGCCCACTCATTACCCGCAATATTCGGGTTCGGGTTTACCTGTACCCACTAAAAATCTTTCGGGTTCGAATTTTACCCTATCCGATTATATCAAATTCTGGCGAATATCCACGATTACGGATATTTTTGTCATCCCTAATCCCTCCCCACAAGCAAATATCTTCTACGAAAGCCAGCCAGTCAGTGGTCACATGTATCTGGAGTGGGCGGCGGCTACTCATTTCAATAAAAAAAACAAGCATTCACAGCATACCTACCAAATCCAGAATCTGCTAGCGGAGTCCCGCATTCCTCAATGTTTTACTTTTATCTAACGACTTCTTAGTTCTTACCTTTAAACAAAAACAAAAATAAGGGAAGCGGAAGCTGATCATGTAAATTAGCAACTGGAAGGACATGGGGCATCTAGTTTACCCCTGATGACTATTGCTGCCAGCCAATGCTATGTGCACAAAAATACCCTTTTGGCTCTTGTCTTGCCGCAGCAGCTATCCAACATGTCCTCAGCCTGGCGGTGCGGGTGCTTAAACTGTATAGATCTTCCTCACCTTCTTCATCTGCCGACGGCAAATAGGGCAGCTGCCTGACGCCTCAGCAATCCTGCACCCAATCATAACAATTCTATCCTTAAGGATCCCCAATGCTTTTCAACACTTAACAGATCATGAACATAAGCCAGATGAAGGAGCGGGAAGACCTAGGATGTAGAAGAGCATAACATGACTGATTCGGCAGATTTTGATTCCTACTGTATGTTCTTTCGAAATTGAAATTTCGGATGTTGAATGTTTTTTATTAAGAAGGAAATTCATCTAATAGTTCTAGCTACTGACACTCGTATATATCCTCCTCAATCAAGTGCCAATCATATTATTTGTGCCACAGATAAGGCAGATTAAAATAATATAAAGTGGACAAAAGCAGAAGTTACCTTGTTCCGCAAGCAAAACAAGCAACACAATGACCGCAAGGCAGGAAAAAGCAATCTCTTGGAGCATCGAAACAGATGGCACACAGCCGCCTTGTGTAGCTGCTATTTTCACCATCTCTCGATGATTTCCCCCCTTCTACAGAACCTCCTGCCATAAGCTCTCCAAGATCGTTTTCTTCACTTGACACTGATTCATAAGATGAGCCCCAACTTGAGAGATCGTCATCTTTGTTTGAAAGTAGGGGGGCTCTACCGGGTTCTAACCCCCCACCTCCATTTCTTTCTCCGTTCATGGACCGAAACTTGTTTAAGACGTTTAAGCCCACCAACATGAGTGCTGACATTCCAGCTACAGCCAGAAAAAGCCAAGTAAACATATAGCATGCACCAAAAACTACCAAAAGAAAAGTAGAACAATCAAACATACCAATACCAAGTATATATATTGCCCATCTTGGTTCATAGGACAACTTGACATGCCACTCTTTTCCAGGCGATACCTGAAGCAAATTAGAAGATGTTTAGCGATTTATCAATAGAAGTCAATTCTACTGTTGAAGTTCAGAATTCAATCAAAGAAGAAAATCCCATTTTCAAAAGTAGATCTCAGCATAAAACATTAGTCGAACCTGTTCAGTACTAGGAGAAGTTAAAAGTACAGGATTTTTGGCGAGGAACAACACCGTTAAACTACACAGGCCACCTGGGAATGCACACTTGTAATAAGCTCCACTTGTGTCGTACAGCAGAGCTCTTATTGTGATTTTTAAGTGGACCTGCCCAATTGAAGTTTGAAATTAGACAGGTGTTAAGCTGCAAAGGAAGAGAGAACGGAAGCTCTAAATACTGCTTTTGTGCCATCACTGGACAAAGTTGACAACTTTCAAGAGCACAAATCAGTAATAGATTTAGGGTTAAGTAGCCATTTCTAGAAATATTTCTAATTCTCCTCCTAAGATAACTCAACTATTATCTGCCATGAACCTGAGAACGGAAGTCTAGCAGGCACTTGAGAACATAATTCTAGCAGTCTAGCATGCACTTGGGAATTGAAGTAACAATAAGTAACCCCATTCATCATCTCATGCTAACACCTTTAACCAACCAAGAAGACTGTCTCCTGAATGCAAAATGCACCTTGAATGCAAATTGTCCAAGTTGGAACTAAGAAAAGATAATACAACAAATAGAGCCAAAATCCCATGTTGTTGTGGTGCTGCATCAGGGAAAATAAGACATCCACAGATATGAACCCATCGAATTCGGCATCAGATCAAAGGTATACCAAACTACCTGCACTTTGTAAGAGTTCAGGTTGCCAACACCAACATAGTAGAGTGAAGATCTGTTTATTCTCTGGAAGATAGCACCACTTCCTATACCAAAAGTGATTGAATAGTGGTAAACAGCTTGTTGGAAAGGGAAGCAACACAGCAGGCACTTCCATAAAAAAAATTCTAGCTTACCATGGATAACCTGCCACAACAAAGTAACATTAGGATATGCTGGCTCCTCCAGCCACTGGTTGAAGTCTTCTTCTCCTGAAATTGCTTGATTTTCAGAGCAATGTGGAAAATCCAAAAGCAATTGGGTCTAGAGTCTAGACAAGTGAACTAACGCTAGAAGCAAATTCAGAAAATGAGAACTTATTCGACGTGACGGATGTCTGTTGAAGTGAAGCAAACTCTTAATGTGTTTCTCCAAGAGGAAACGATGTGACAAAAATCAATCAACCAATTTCTACTCGTGATAATACAATACCAGAAGATCTTGTAACATGCCACAAAGATCCGCCTCAGGGAACATGGTTTTCTATAGTAGTAAATACCATAAAACGGACCTATCATCAACTAGTAGAGAACCATTTCCCACCATGGATCAGTTACCACCCTCACTGAGTCCTCCAAGAGCTAGGCTCTTTTAACTAAGCAGTTGATGTTAGACAAAGCCAGTCCGGTAACTCAAAGTGTTTTCACAAAAGAAGGTACTTCTATTAGAAAGATGTCTCACTATTCATTTCTCTTAGATGCAGCATCATCTAGATTAATAGATGCATCGAACAAGCATTACTGATTGCCTCCTCCCATTATGTCAAATAAAGGCTCTTAACCATGCTTTTTCATTCTATGCAATGCCTAGTATCAAATTTAGAAAGGTTCATTAATTTGCTCCAAGTAGAGAATAAGTGATCTTGTAAGTGAGCACAAAACAGAGGCATGCCATTATCAAGAAAAATCCAGAAAGAAGAGTTTCGGTGTACCTTGGGCAATGACAAGGAAGACAGCAGAGCTTGAGGAATTCACAGTATATGAGATATTGATCTCGGAACCCTCGTTCAGGTGATAAACCCACTCCTGAAAAATTTGAAGAACATTAAATACCAGTAAGACCTTCAGCGACTCTGAAATGGGCAGCTTTATGAACATCACTGATTGCAGAATAAACTTGCCTCGTGAGAATTAGAAGGAACAATTCCACTGTGAGAGTCTGACCACGTTTCTACAACATCGAGTGGGGGAGATTCATAAAATCCATACAGCATCAGACCAGGACTAGAATCATTCAACTCTTCTACCTAGTGCAAGCCAGCAATTTACCATCAAACAGCAATACATAAGATGGAACAGAACACCACAGATGAAAATGGCAGCCTTACCTTTACAGCCTGCACGAATAAGGGATTAGGTTCAATGAGAAGCGAGCAATTAGGTCCTAACTTCAGTCTCTCAGGGCCATATACTCCAAAAATCAAAGTCATGGAAACTGCAAGCCGGGAAAATCCATCATAGATCAAAATCTAGTATGCAATTGCCTATCTCCGCCGCTCTGGTCCTCCAAACCGGAACAAGAGCAGCCGAAAGACCAGAAATTATTGCAGTAAGAAGGAATAACAACGAACACTTGGGGAAAAAAGGATCATTCCGTGAATACGAAAGAGCTTGAGGAAACGAAGACTAACTGAAGCACCAGAAGGTGAGGACGACGGTGACACAGGACCAAGTATCATCTCCGAGCGACGGAAGGCCATTGGTTTGCGGCGAATTCCTCCCTGGATTAGAGACTCCAACCTCTTCCTGCTGGTGCCCTATCTCCGGCTCAGGAAAACGGTGCGATTCCTGCTCGCCAGGATCCTCATCTTCCTCCTGAACTTGCGAGGAAGAAGAAGGAGAAGATTCCCTCGTCGAAGTCTGTGACGCCGCCCCGGAGGGTACTTCCGCCGTTCCGGAACCGGAGGTAGACGGAGAACCACCGTTATCCACATCGATTGCAGAATGAGAAGGAGAGGAGTGAAAAGAGGGAGGAGGTGAAGTGCTAATTGATCCTTCCTCCATTGCGAGGCAAGTAGTAGAGGGAAAAGGGAAACCGATTGGAAGAAAGAAACTGCAGCAGTCAACCGCAAACCTCGGATGAAAAACTGATGAGTGGACTGCGCGCTACTGAAGAGTTCCATTGGGAAAGGAATGGATGGTCAGGTCCGGGTGACTGCAAGACTCACCAATCAGTCCGCAACTCCATTTCTCCCCAGCAAGAATAGTTGTTGCAGCAATTTGCAATTTGGCAGCTAGTATCTCCTCGCCTGTGCCAATTGCCAATGATTTTAGAGGTTAGTTACATTTCGATCTTATGTTTATTAACATTTTAGTCCTTGGATCAGCATTTTTCGTTTGTTAATGGGCGGTTTGGTTTTGGTGATAATTAAATTGATACATTGCTAGCAATGTATATAAGGGGTCGTTTGGAAGTTGTGATTGTTAAATAGAAGTATTGTTGTCAATGCATGTATAACATTATACATGTATTGTTGAATTTGATGCATTGTAGAATACAACGTTTGGTATGTGTGATGGGTCCGGATAGTATAACAACATTGTTTTTGTTGTTATAATAAGGGTTAATACCTTAATTTGGCCCGAACTATATACATACTTTCTACTTTGGCCCGTGGTATTGGAAATTGTTATTCTGGCCTGAACTATGTAGCAAACTTCCTCATTTGGCCTGGAGGCGGGTTTGACCGTTAAATTAGACGGTCAAACTTGTTGACCGTTAGTCAATGTACACCTCGCCTGCCACGTCAGCTTTGAGGACATAATTTTTTTTATTTCTGAATTTTGTTTTCTTGTCATTTGCTAAAAATGGACCCTTTTAAGTTCTTTTAATTATTTTTTTATTTATTTATGATTTTTATTAATCGAAAGAAAAAAAATTCAGAAATAAAAAAAATAATTTTTTATGTTCTCAAAGCTGACATGGCAAGTGAGGTGGACATTGACTAACGGTCAACAGGTTTGACCGTCTAATTTGATGGTCAAACCCGCCTTCAGGCCAAATGAGGAAGTTTGCTACATAGTTCAGGCCAGAATAGCAATTTTCAGTACCACGGGCCAAAGTAGAAAGTATGTGTATAGTTCAGGCCAAACTAAGGTATTAACCCTTATAATAACAATAGAATTCATTAAGGGTAAAAGGGTCAATTAACAATAAAAATAATAAATACAAATTAATCCTACGCATTTTTCCGTTCGCTCTGAACAATCAGAGAATCCTCTAGAGCATCCATGGAGCCGAGCGAGCCGAGACCTTTCTTCAAAGAAGAGGAGGCGCCGCTGCTGCTATTGCTCTCTCCGTCTTCTTCTTCATCCTCTTCCTCGTCGCTGTCGTCGGGAGCGCCGACGGAGGACGAGCTATCGGAAGAATCGTCGAGGGATTTCCCAGATCCAGCCATCGCGAGGCCCAATCGACTGTGGTTGGAGATCGAGATCGAACCTACTGATCCATCTTCTCCTTCCTCTCCCTCCACAAGAGATGAAACAATATGCTTCAGTAGCAACCGCTGGGTCTCCGCCTGTGAGAGGGAGTAACCCGCCGCTGCTGCCGCCGCCGCCGATTGAGTAGGCGAAACGTCGATGGTGAAGGTATGACCCACTAAGACATCCATCTGATATTCTGCAGCCTTATCCTTCGGTTCTCTTCCGATTGTCGTTCTCAACTCTTTCCAGTGATCGGCCGCCGCCACAGGAAACGCAACTACAGACTGTGATGCCGGAGCTCCCGATCCTTCTCCTCCGATTGCAGCCCGATCTCACATCGTCTCTCCCAGCGCCTCAATGTACCTACTGTTTAGATCAATTTCACCAGAGGTCTCGGGATTGTCGACGTGGTCGGAGTTGCCGAAGCTTGGATCGGTGGGCGATGTGTTCGCCAGTCAAGATATGGGACTGCTGCGTCGGTGTTGGCGGTGCTACATCATATAACTCGTCTGAGTCGATTTCATCAATAATCGACATCACCCTGCTGTTCCGACAACCTTTCTTTCTCAATGAACGATCCCCCTCCTCCCCTGCCTTCTTCTTCTCTTCCTAGGAGAAAGACAGAGTTTAATTTAGCTTCTGCTTCTTTTCTTATTGCTTTGTCAGTGCAAATGAAAAGTCAATTACATATGTTTTCCTTATTGCATCTTAATAATTTTTGCAAATGAACTCATTTCTTTTTTTTTTGTGGGGCAAATGAACTCATTTCAATTTCACTGCGGAAACACCAATCTAGTTTTCTTGTAATTGCAATTAGTGAGTCAAAGTCAATTTTATAATTTCCTTAATGCTAACCACAAATATTTTGAAACAAACCATATATACCACAAAACATACCATAAATATTTCATAAACACACCATAAACTTCTTAATGCAAACCAGAAACATAAAAAAGCAAACCATAAACGTCCTAATGCATACCACAAATCTCCTAAAACAAACCACAAACCTCACAAAGCAAACCACAACATTTACGAAAGCACACCAGAAACCTCCTAATGAAAACCACAAACACAGTAAATCAAACCACAAAAAAACTTCTTAATGCAAACCAGAAACCTCCGAATGCATACCACAAATCTCTTAAAACAAACCATAAACCTCACAAAGCAAACTACAACATTTGCGAAAGCACACCGGAAACCTCCTAATGCAAACCACAAACACAGTAAATCAAACCACAAAAAAGCAAACCAGAAACCTCCTAATGCATACCACAAATCTCCTAAGACAAACCACAAACCCCTCAATGCAAACCACAAAGTTTTTGAAAGCAGACCAGAAACTTCTCAATGCAAACCACAGACACGATAAAGCAAATCAGAAACTTCTTAATGCAAACCACAAACACGATAAAACAAACCACAAAAGACATACAAAAATATGAGAAACCAAACCATAAATCTCACAATGCAGACCATAACATCCGGTGGTCGTTGGCCGTTGACCGGTCAACGAAGACCATTGACCGGTCAACAAAGACCGTTGACCGGTCAACGAAGTTCGTTGACCAAACTCTGATGACCGTCAGTGAGTAGATTCCGGCGCCGATAGGCATATTCCGACCCCGATGACTAGATTCCGATGCCGGTAAGCATATTCCGACCACGGTGAGCATATTCCGGCGACGGTGGCATATTCCGCTGACAAAAAAGTATATTCCGGCGACAAAAAAGCATATTCCGGTGACCAGTTCCGGCGACCAAAAGCCTAATTCCGGCGACCAAATTTTTTGGCCAAAAATAAAAAAAATATTTTTATTTATTATTTTTTTGTTATTATTTAAATATATTTTTCATAATGACAATTATACCCCTGCTTTGATTTTACACTAGGTCAACTCATCTAATAAAAAGTCATCACAACCCTAGCTTCCTATTGGTTGGAGACTAGTGTTGTTACAATAACAACAAAATATGTGTTGTTATAGTAACCGGTCCCATGTGTGATTGTGTATGTCATATCAGCTAAAAGCTTAGATATAACAATCACTTAATTTGAGTGATAGTTTCTGTCACATCACATAAACAATCCATATATTGTTTCTACTAAAAAAACAAAAAAAAAATGATGCATTCTAAATAATACATGTATAATAACAATCGCAACTTCCAAACGAATCCTAAGAAAATTGGTGTATTGTAGTTTACACTGTTTGGTTTCGGTGATAGTTAGGGTGCGCCTATGGTGACATGCATGTCACCGTAACTTGTACTTTTCGGTCGACCTAATCCTAACAGAGGTCGCCCGAATACACTAATGTGAGCACCCTGATGACTTATCACGGTCGACCTTTAAAATGTAGTGGTCGAACGTTTGTAGTTTAAGTTATCATTGTTGGTCGACCACAATAAAACATCGGCCACCCTTTTCATTGGCGTCAGAAGCAAAATGGTCAACAGTAAATGTATATAGGTAGACCACTTGATGGTGGTCATTAACTAAATGGTCGACCATTTACAGAAAGAGGTCGACCAGATAGAAGAGAAGTGTTGTATTCATTTATCCATCATCATTTTACGTAAAATGGAGATCAAGTGTTGGTTTCGCGGTCGACCTAATTCGGTATGAGGTCGACCGAATACAGGAAAATCAACCTATGCCATGTGTCTTTTTTGCTTATGTATGTCGATGTGGGTGGTTCTTTTGCTTGTACAAATTACGTTTCAAACCAACAGAATCAGTAATAAATAATGATAACAAGGACTCATAACTTCATAACATAAAAACTAAACAAACTAACAAGAAATACAATAAAACACAAATCATAATTGTTCACACATAACTAAAATATAAACCACATAATATCAATCCACAATCGTTTTTAACACTTAACAACAAAAACACACAATCTAAAATCGTCGAGTTCCTACTCCTGTCCCCTCTCTCCCTCATCCACATTTTCTTCATTGGTGTTGCTAGCATTATGATAGTCGGATATGGTGGGATGCATGTATCTTCCACTTAAAGATCGAAACTCATCTCGCATCTCATTCATGGTCACCTGCAGTGTGCTCATCTGGGTGGCCATTTTCCCCATGAAGTCGTACATGTCAGTCATCTGGGTGAAAATCTGGCCCATGTAGTCGTACATGCCAGCTATGCCCTCCCACATAAGCTCTAAGGTGACCGGTGGAGTTGAACTCTATGCCTGCGCCATTGGCTCGTCTCTGGCTCCTTCATCAGCATCACCAGCATCATCCTCATCATCATCGCCACCATGGACACCATGAGCATTGTGTATTCGGACATACTCACCATTACGCAGCTCAAATCCCATCTTTTTTAGAGATGAAACTGCATATAACTCATGCCTTGAGATTTTTAAGTCAACCTCACCACTTAAATCCACATTAAAATGCTCAAATAGCAAAGTCAAGATTATCCCATAGGGAAGATTCCTGTTTGAACTATCTACAGCAGTAAGCATGTGGTTAAAGATCAAGTACGACAAGTTGACCTTCTCATTTGAAAGTAGGTTGGAGAGGAGCTCCATGTCGAAGTAGGTGACTGCCTCCCG